TTTAGGAACGGAACCCTATCATGTGCAGGGCCGCAATATGGCTGCCATGAATACTGTAGACCACGGATCATGCACTCCAGTTGACGAATGTTAGGTGTGAGCTCGGAGTTTGGGACATTGGTTTGCAACCATTGCAGCAAGCTGGAGCGCCAAGCAGGGATGGCTCAGGAGAGGGCTCGAGAAATAGATTGCCATTCTAAGGATGCTGCTTGTGTAAGCATGCGATGTAGGGTAGAACGGACAACGTAGAATGGACCTGGAGTAGTATCAATCGTGAAGGGTGTGTGTGCATGAAAATGCGTTGCGGGGCAAGTCGCCGGAGGATTTGGACTACCTCTCGATCGAACCCAATTGCTCGAACGATGAGATCGCCTAATAGGCGGTCGTTGTCCAAATCAGTCTTTGTCCTATTGCAGACAACGAGAGCATTTGAGATGTCCAACATATTAAAGCAATTTTATAATTAGACAGTTTTTTTGTTGTCCTTGGGGTACCCCTTTCATTGTTCTTACAGCTCCCCTTTTATTGCGCCTCTTATGCACAAGGTCGCCCATGTTGATTGTGGTTGAGCTGCAGCTGCCCACATCCACGTGTGTGTGTGTGTGTGTCTGTGTGTGTGTGTGTGTGTTTTCGATTTTCCCCACAACAGCCCCAATTCCACCCAGGTGAATAGATTCAGAATCAAAGACTGACAACGAGAGCATTTGAGATGTCCAACATATTAAAGCAATGTGTGTGTGTGTGTGTGTGTGTGTGTGTGTGTGTGTGTGTGTGTGTGTGTGTGTGTGTGTGTGCTTTAGATTTTCCCCACAAGAGAGAAGGTTAACAACAGTCGTATTTTTCATCACCACTTCAGGACACCCTTCACCACTTCAGGATGCAACCTGCCTAAACAGGTGGTTTTCAGGGTCTTCGAACCTTTCACCACTTCAAGACCATTCAGGTTTGAAAATCCTGCATGGTCCTGAAGTCGTGAAAACTCTGAAGACCATGAAAACCACCTGTTTAGGCAGGCTGCATCCTCAAGTGGTGATGGGTGGTTTTCATGGTCTTCGGACCTTTCACCACTTCAGGACGATTCAGGATTTTCAGACTGCCCAAAACTCTCACTTGACCACTTCACGACACCCTTCACCACTTCAAGATGCAGCCTACCTAAACAGGTGGTTTTCAGGGTCTTCAGACCTTTCACCACTTCAGGACCATTCAGGATTTTCAAACTGCCCAGAACTCTCACTTCAGAATTTTTATTCCTGAATTTTCAGCTACCCGATAACCACTTGTGTTGAGATGTCCAACATATTAAGGCAATTTTATAATTAGACAGTTTTTCGGTTGTCCTTGCAGTACCCCTTTCATTGTTCTTGCAACTCCCCTTTTACTGTGCCTCTTACACGCAAGGCTGCCCACGTTGATTGTGGTTGAGCTGCAACTGCCCACATCCCCGTGTGGCTCCACGGCCCACTTGCACGTTAGATCCAAAATCAAAGAAACTTTCCCTACCTTGCGGACAATGAAACACACTGGAGACGGGCCAATCCAACAATGAAGCAGTTTTACCTCTATAGCAAGCAACACGGAGCAGAATAGATCCATTATTTCCTTTTCTTAAGTATCTTTACTTTAGTTTCCTTTAGGGTATTCCTTCATTTGTTCTTGCAGCTCCCCTCCTTTCTTTTTTTTACCCAAAAACACACACCCGCACCTTCTATTCTGGGGGGCAACAGTCCGGTTAATCTCCACCGGCAAGCCCAAAGAAAATGTCACCGATGAAAAAGGGGAGCAGCTTTGCCATGGCTCGAGATGCCATTGGTAGCAAGCTGCTGTTACATCGCAGAGGGTGGCCGCCGGGCTTGCATCGACTCGGCCCCCTCCGGTCGGGAGACGCTCCTAGTACCCGGACGATCAGGGGGAGCCAGGGCCATGGTCGTCCTCCTCTGTGATGTAACAACGCCCCTACTGCTTAGAACTGCCGCTTTAAATGCAGTGGCTGCATCAATTCTCCACAGAACCCTGGATCTAGTATTCTTTTCCCTGTGATATACTCTCCCTAGTCATCTCGAAACCCTCTACCCCCCGGTTTCTCACTCTACCACATCACCCAATTCTCGCTTACTGTTTCCGCGATCATCCTCCTACCATAACTGCCATCCATATGTGCATCATTGTTTAACCCCGCGCCCCTGCCGGGCGACCTTCCAGCTCCCCTTTTACTATGCCTCTAAAGTACAAGGCCGTCCATATTGATTGCGGTTGAGCGTCTATTACCCACTCCCCATGTGCCCAGTTCACGCCCCTGCCTGTCCCTGCTATTGCATTGAACTGCACTTGGGCCTCCGCCCTTCGGCAGAGGCCCGGTAGAGCTTTGGGGCAAAGGACTGGTGGTGCAATGGATGGGCGGACACCAGATGCGAAAACACCAAACACAGCCAGACAACG